GCTTGTTGGCCAATCTGATAGAGCGTGCGGACATTGAACGCGGCCAAAAGAAAAGGGGGTTTTGGCTTTAAAAACCCTAAAGCTTCTGATTGTCTGGCCTTGTTTGTAAAACACTGATTGATATTCGATTGGTGGCGTCACACGACGTCAAGGTGCAGCCTCGTCGTGATGGGGTTGCAAGGGTAGCTCCCATTGGATCCAAGATTGTCACATGTCACTTGTCCATTGCTTGATATGGGGAATTACACATGAAATCGGCCTGAGGGGTAGTCACCGAAAATAAGCTTGTTCGCTGAACTGCGCTTTCATTCAATGTGTGCCTTCGGTATATTCCGGTCATCAAACTAGTTTCATAATGCCTGTGGTACTGAAAGAGAATTGCGGAGATATGCAACACTGCTGATGTATGTTTCTTCTTCAGGTTTTTAAGTGATTGATACTTCTAGGTATTTTGAGAGTTGAACAACTCCAATTTTATTTAAAGATCAACTCTACATGTACTGAATAGCTAGCAATTTCAAATCATAGGACAATTCTTTCAATAAACCATAGTTACTTCTTGTATGTACCCATCATTTAATCACAATGGTAAATATATAGCTGTTAGTAACTCGCTTACTTCGGTTTCGGAACGAACATGGTGCCACAGAAACTGAGAAGGCCGGGAAGGGAAGGGGCTATGGGGAAAAATAGGAGTGAGGTATAACGGGTTACACTGCACTTCGATGTTTTTTGCCTCAACTTACCGGATTTTTTGCGACTGGCTACTTCTCTGTGTCTCCCCATAAATAACATACCTCTTATTTTCACCTCGTATAGAATGTGTGGACTAAGAGTCTGACTCAAATTAAAACGTGGTCTGAATTCATTGGTATCAGTCAATTTCAACAAAGTATAATTTCAAAAAAGGAATTCGCCGTTTATAGAGTAAATGAAGGGTGAACTGGAAAGTTAGGAAGCACCGTGCAGCTGTTTCGACCTGGTTGGGTCTCATCAGCATTTTGACCCTATAAAGTTGAGTCACGTACGCGAATGATACATTGTTTGTTAAAGGAAAACTTTCTCGCTTTGTAGCACATTTTACTTCCACTGCCAGTTATGAGCTGGGATCAAGTTAGTTTCTGTGCATTCCATGGCCTCAAGTTGAGAACACATTGGAGATAGGTATTTCTCCACCTGTATACCTAATAATAGACGTGCTGTACAGAAGACAGTCCTAAATTTGTGCATCCGGTCTTTATGAACTTGGGTAGAAGTTAAGCTTTGAATATACTAATGAATGTTGGTAGCACAGAATGAGAATGCTGAAATTGTGGTTTTCGCGGAGCTATAAATCGTTTTCGCTGACGTTCCTTAGCCATGAAAGACTACTTCATCGATGAGACTTTGGGGAAATTGTCTAGCCTGGCTACGAGACGTTTGCAAACAACATTTTCGGGGGATGCTTTGATACCGACAACGTGAACTGTGCTACTGTTTGTGCTCTTATCGTTGGATTACTGACCAAGAGCCTGAATTAAGTAGATTTCCAGTGTTGCATATGAACAGATCATGGTTTTACTTCCAGTAAAGATCGGAGTTCTGTGACTTTTCGACAATATTTGGATCTAGATTGGTAAAAAATATGGGGAATGTCCTACCTAACTGTACAAGTTGTTTTGGCGAAACACCTGCTTGGGGTTTTGGGGAATCAGAATATCAGAAGTGCTCTCTTTCCATCACGAAGGGATCACGTAACCACTGCGCAAACTATCGCTGGACTAATTTAGTTCCAATAATCACAAAAGTGTTGACTTCTGTGATACTTCGCCGCCTGACACCCTTAAGATAGATGAATATCCGCTGCGTTACAAATGATGGTACCATAGTCAATGAAGTAACTGCCCGCATTTTTAAGGCTGGAGCTGCTTACGCAGGACTGAAGCACGTTTGGTGCAGACGGGATGTTTCGTTGCAATAGAAAGGTCGTGTATATTGCGCCGGTGTGCGGTCAGTTCTAATCTATGGTTGCGAGACTCTAAATGTGTACGTGGAACATATTCGTCCTCTAGAAGTCTTCGACTGCCGATGTTTACGTAGTTTGACGCGGGTTGAATGGAGCGAGCGTGTAAGCAACTCGGAGGTAAGGCGCGTATTCGGTAATGATTCGATGGAGAATTCGTTGTCTCATCGAATTCAGGTTAGTCGGCTTCGCTGGTTGGGACACGTATTGCGTATGCTTAGTCATCGTCTGCAGCACCGCGCCTTATTCGCAGTTACGGCTCCAGGTTGGAAGAAACTGCACGGAGGTCAACAGATGACGTGGAAACGAGGCATGAAGAAATGCGCAGAGCCATTAGGTAGAATCGGTGTCCTCCGTCTTTCAGGTTGGGGTCCAAAAGACTGCAACTGGTTGGTTGGAGACACTGAAGGATATGGCTACTAACCGACAGCAGTGGCCTTCTTGTTGTCATTTCTTATCAGGACCAAATGCTTGAAAAGGTATGCATGCATGCTTAGGTTGTGTACTTTGTTTGTTGACCATAGAGGTTCACTTTCCTTGCCTCCCTCCAATTTGGCCCCATCCCTCTCCATCTTATGCTTTATCACTTGATTTGTGTACATTGTGATCTTGGCATCGATCAGTGAAGTTCGCTTCACTGTATCTCGCTGTATGATGATGATGATGATGATGCTCTCTTTAAATACTTCGTTCAAAAACTTAATTTTCAAATAGAGCCATACATTCATAACTGCTCAATGTTCAATCAGAAATCGTTAAACGATAAATGGGTTTCCACTCATCTATTCTTCTGTTTATTTTCGACCGCATTATGATATTGTTTGTACTACTGTTTTCCTGCAGCTATCGACACGACACAGTGTTATATAAAGGAAAGCTTTATGTGATCGCTGGAGGTAACGAGATAGAGACGCATCCCATGTGGCCGGTGAGTAGTGTTTGTTTTCATATTTCACTACCAAATTGCACATTGATGCAGATTAGTTTCCTTCGCACCCCTGTTATCTAGAAGACTATAAAAACAGACTTGCAATCTCCAAGTTATTTATAGTGTTCATGCTTCACGTTCGTTTTTTGGACACATCATCGTGCAATCAATTTTCAAAAAATAAGCTACGGTCTGTCAACGTCGACCAACAGACATTTAGTAATGCAGAAGTTAGCTAACGGTGATTCGAACGAACGCCCCAAGCTTTTCCACCAGGCTCAACTTAATACTATCTGACAGATTAATGAGTTGTCTTTAACCTCCAATCCGCGTTTGCTTACAAATTGCTTGTTCTTTTTGTTGTTGTTCTTTTTAATCAGGACTTTGAAATTATGGAACACCTTATTTGCGTTCCCTCAGCCACTTGAAACCTTCAAGAGCAGCCAAAAGTTGTTGCACGTTTCCCCATATACGGGGCTTATCTTCAACTGAGGTTACTACTTTTGCTCTAGCGATGTAATCAAACGGACAATAGACATCAAATCTTGTTGTCACTAGACACACACAAGTCGCCAGAACTCGATGGGCTTCCCCCATCACTCTCAAACTGTATTCCCTCGGAACAGGCTTTCTTTCCACGTCACTTTTTTCCATTCCTCAAAGCCAACGCTGTTGCCAAACGCGGTGACCTATCAGACCTCAATAGCTTTCGCTCCATCTATCTCACAATAGTAGACTTGCAGGGTTCGATGTTAACCATTGCAGATCGGTTTCACTGTATGCAGGAGCAAAACAAGCTGCTTATCCCGGTTCAATACAGCTTTCGGTATCCACGGGCTACCAGTGGTGTTTTGGCACTCATTTCGCATATCTGGTCAGCATCTTTGTCTGCCTCTGTGTATCGAATAACACTCTATGAACCCAAAGGCTGAATTCTCAGAAATTGACGAACTCGTACAGTGGATATATGCTAATTACGATTAAAAAGAAAAATTAGATATTTTAGTAGAAGAACCAAATGGAATCTAAGAGTCTTTCTCTAAGGTGGTGGATAATTGTCGTGTGATTAACTAAGGCCGAGCCAGGTATGAAATTACTTTCTTTCTGTGCGAGGAGAAGGATCAGGATCGAGTTTAAAGTAAAACCATTCGTCCCTAGCGATTAATTTGCAATCATTAGTTGACTGGCAATTAGTTAGTTAGTTTTATTCAAGTAAACTGGCGTTTCCTTTCCTCGTTCAACATGTGTTCTTGAAATACGATATGAAGAGGTAGATGCAAATAAAAGTTTGAACCTCGAGAGTGGATGATATGGATACAGTTTTTGAACGTTCGCTGTGTAATAAATGATGAGTGTTTGGGAATATTTTGGCGATAAAATTTTCGCATGTTTGTAGGTGTCTGCCCATGATGGTCTGCAAGTTTATCTCGAGCAATGCCAGTACCTTTAGAGATGTGTTTTAGACATCTCGCCAGTAGATCTAAGTTTTTTCAGCATACCAGGGAAATCACTGGGGCGCAGTGTAACCAGTGGGGGAGTACGCATGCATTCAAAAACCTAATAGTCAACTTGTGTGGGACGGAAAGTATTCTTAATCGGAGCAAGAAATATGAAAGCTTTCTAACTTTACAGAATGTGTTCTAAACGTGCAGTGATCATAATAAAATGTGTGATAGTGTGACACTAAGATATGGTGATCTTGGTATGGGTTCAAGTAGAAAGGGAAGGATGCCCATTTCTGAGAGCTGAATGCAGTTTGTCGGCCAACAGGGAAACACAATATCTTGACCTTTTGAAGCATTCAATGAAGGGAAAGGTGACAGAAGCCAATTAGCATTGTTTGGCTTACGTCGAATTTCTGAAGCCCCTTTTGGGGTGGAGGCTTCGCATCCTAAAGCATAATTGTCGTTGTATTTGCAGCCAATGAGTGTAAAATGCATAGAAAATTGCTTGACGTACATTGAAAAGAAAAAGGGAAAATCCATGTTTGTCCCAAGAGGTGGGTTGGCACTTAATGTCAGTACGAGAAAAAACTAGTTACATGTAGCGGTTAGGTGGATTAGGTTTGTTTGTGAAAGTTTATTCTTCGTGCAGACTCAACGTGTTACCCATCACTGTAAAGCCTTTGAGAATCTGCACATTCGTTCCGTCTTCGTTCGGGATCATCTTAGAATCTAGTGAAATTTAAATCCGGACACTAGGTGTAGCAATCCTGTGCGCTAACCACTTGGACTATCCAAGCTGGCTCTCATCAACTTGCTACACAGTACCTGATATCGCCCTTGTCTGCCACTATCGTTGAATGTATAGGACCTTGGCAGAAACTGGTCAACTGCCTGATGCACGACTTCTCAACAGGACCCCACCACGATTGACTAGAAATCGGCGAGGTGCTAATTATCGGCCCGGATAGCCTCAGTTGTTAGCATGTCGAATTAAAAAAACCCATCTTTCCCAGGTTCTAATTCCTAACAATGATGGAACAGTTGCAGTGTTTTCAAGGATTTTTGGTGCTTAAACTTCGATTTTGAGTGATGATTGAAGTTCTGTAAGAACCTGTCTCTAGATCGCTTAACCCTCAAATCAGATGAGCAAAAGATAGTGCTGTGTGGGATTCTGTTCGGCATTGAGTGAATCCTTTATAGTTCACTGGATAACTGCCACATCCAACCAGTAAGATGGTCCATTCACAGAATCAACATCAAGGTGTTTCATCGAAAATAGTTGAACATTGCCTCATAAAAAAACTATTGTTAATGATTCTCGACGATTTCTGTGGAAACGAAGGATTTTTGCCTGGCAGATTACCTCTGCAATAAGAATTGACAACAGTCTAGTAAATAAGACCATCACCGTCGCTATGTTGTCCAGCGAGCATCAGTTAGCAGTGCAAGAGCGCCAACGGGGGTGGCATTTTTGCCGAAGTGTGTTCATAGTTTCACCCACGAAATAGCAGGTAGCCTAAGACAAAATGCCTGGACCGCCTTAGACTTTCTTAAAATTGTTCATGGGACGTTCCTGGTTCACTAACGGACACATAGGGCGTCACTCACGATGTCACTCATAACTCCGTTCATTTTCGCAAACCACTTAGGATTTACATCGTGCAGCCGAAGTGTACTATTCAACTTCCCAAATGTGAACAAGACCTCTGAACGCGAGTAGGATTTTCCAAGCATGGATTCATTTTTCGTGAATTGTCCGACCACCCATTGGTGTCCCTATTGCTTAAAGTGCCAGCTGAAAGAAAAGAAATGCGTATTTGCACTGTTGACCACGCGTGAAAAACCATTTCTCGTGAACTATGTTCCACTTTCTGTTCACACAATGACGAACCTTGCCTGTACTTCGGTGCTACGGGTTCGGTTGCTGCTTTCCGGTTGCCGATTCGGCTGGCCGATGCGGAAAGTGTAAATGTAAATGCTGAGAAAACGAGAGCAGCACAGAACTATCTAATCAAATGCTTTTTGTTTTGAGTCGAGAGTTCACTATCCACTTTGTTTTTCTTTTACCTTTTTCAGATGCCCGTATTCGATCTGACCACAAACAAATGGTCTTTCATACAGTTTTCCGGTGTAACACCGCCGCTGTTTCGTTATCAAAGC